TTGAATAATAAAAGACGCCGTTAGATTTGGTTATTTGGGAATGATATAGATAACACATTGCAGAAAAGATGAGAAGAATTAATATGGGACCATTGCGACTTGTAACATTCATGTCTTTGATAAGTATGTGTCAATTTGCAAAATAACGAACTGCCATGATGTGAGTGATTAGAGGCGTGTAGATGTTATTATATATACTTGAATATGCAAATTATGTATTTCGTCTCATAACATCCTCCGTAAATACATTATATGTATCTGTAGCACAATACATAAACTAAGTGTGTGACTTCAGTTTGCAGAATAATGAATTAAATATCGTCGTGTTCCTCGTTCGTTCATTTTTTTCCGAAATGATTAGACTCTTTCCATGTTTGCTTCAATCTGAAAAAAAACATACGAGTAAAATTCAGGCAATATGGCATAATTCTGTGTCTGTAGTGCTCCATGTGTTGAGTACTAATATGGCGCCTTAGTTTCTATTATATATCTCTTTTTGAAACCCATTGTTAGGGGCATTGGGGTCAATGAGAAATATGGTGCAATTACTTCCGGTTGATATAATAATTTGCCCAAGGAAACACATTAAAAAAATACTGATGCTGCATGATATTTTATTGGGGATTCATTTATTACGCTACTGAACAGTTTCTCATTGTCAGAAATTCAACCCAAAATACGTTATGAAATCATTGTCGTAGTTATCATTTTTTTCCATTAGGTTACTGATATATCTATTGTCACAATGTCACGTGATTCAATATTTGCAAACAGTGACAAATATGAGGTCAAATATTTTGGTCTTATTTGATTTAAAAAAAAAGTGTGAAATTCAAAATAATGATAAACTACAATATTTACCAGAAAATTTAAACATTCCAGTTTCGGTTTGTTTTAGTGAATAAATATTCGCTTAATTGTGTGTATTCGTTCTAACAAATGTTCAGGCCGACAAGAACGCCATTTTAACGCTGTAGTCTATTCCGACTGTATGTCCATTTACCGTTTACCAAAACAAAGGTGGGTAATAAATGCAACTATCCATACGTTGGTCACATGTCCCAAAGGAGTGAAAATCTGAACAAAAAAAAGTGCCCGGACTTAAAAATAAACATTGTTCGCTTTTTACATAGCCAGACACTCAATCAATATATATATTTCTACCTACCAATACGGATAATTCCATTATGTACAACCAAGTTATATTGCCTTAAGCAATACGTGCAGATGCGATGAAATGATTAGTGTTGTGGCGATGGCAGGCTCCCATCTGACTATACATATTTATAATATGGGTCAGTGAGCCTGTACACAAATAAAATTTCGAACAGCTTGAATGTGTAGCATATGGTTTATACATTCACATTTCAAAATAGCAACTATAGGTTAGAAAAAACACCCTAATTTGTTGAAATATTGAAAGATCAGGCTATAATTTCCGAATATCATTTTCTTACTTGCTACAAAAGCAATATTTATAAATTAGCCGATTTTATTATTAGTACACGTCTGACTCATATTAGTAGCGGTAGTTGTGGTATATAAAATTGTATAACTATAAAATAATCCCTCACCTATGTCGAGCTGCGGTGAATTCGATATTCTCGTTTAGAGTTTTGTTTTTAAATTGCAACGTGGATGAACTTAATGCTGGAGATTAACAAAATAATCTTAGTAATCCTTTCGAACCAATTCATATTAATAATAAATTGACAATATTTTAATCTTTCAATTATCAGGTATTAATTATAGTATGTCAGGGTTCACTTAGAGTTCAAATATTTATATTAGAGGTCACCTTGATGAGATTAACCAGTATGTATTGTTTATTCTTAATGTGTAGCTGGTCGGGGTAGGATATTGCTATTAATTTGTAAATTCGTG